CTAAATATTAAAGCGATATTTACAATTTATCCCACTAGTCCGTTGCTTCGTAAGCGAAAATAATAAAAATTACAATTTGGAACCGAATTTGTAAAAATAAAATCCCAGCAGAAATAAATTTACTAGGTATTTTAGTTGATATTACAAATTAAATTGTAATAATTAAGAAACTTGAAATAATTTTTAAATAAACATGTCAAAATTGAGATTATTACAAGTTACCTAATAAATTCTACTATTTCGACGACAAATTAAGTCGTTGTCAATCAAAAATTGTAATTTTTGCGTTTTCATAAAAATTTAGTTTTCTGCGTGTTCAGGGCTCATTTGGTCGGAGCCTAAAAAATAGCTGCCGAAGCTGCAGCTTCCATATAATCTACACTAGTGGCGAGTTAAAAACCCAACATCTTTTGAAAAATACTAGTCGGTATAGGAAAATTCGTAAAAATACCTTCATCCATCTTTTCATACAAATAAATAATCCATTAAGTCCAATATATGCAATTTAAAGCTTCTGAAGTGATATTTTGAAAAAGTATATTACAAAAGTTCATAAAATTGGGTATTTTCCCAATATAAAAACAAAAAAATGTCGACAAATAAATGTGTAATGTTTGGTGTATGTTTTAGATGTTATTGTTGGAAGATGCATGCTTACGTATTAATGATGTGATTGAGATTTTTATTGTCCTTGTAATCAAATTTCATCAATACATTCTGTGAAATATGTATAGGTTTCCCTTATTTTATGGGTAATTAAGTTACAAAACAAAAGGTTGTAACAGTTGCGTTATTGCTTTTTATTTTACTTATTGTTTTCATTTTCACCTTGGTGCGTATACAAGTGTAATTGCGCAATTGTTATTTCATCTCTTTTTAAACGACCATGATCCCAATGTGAAATTAATTTTCATTATTTTTTTATGTTGTTTTTACACCTTTTTTCGTTAGGTTTTATATTTAGCAAGAAGACCGTTTGTTTTTATATCCTTTCCCGTACTTTCTCATTTCAAACTTTTTCTATCCATGATATTTTTATCATCCTCGTGCAACACCTTATCTCAAGCTCTTCTAACCCTCTGTTCACGTGTTGCATCTGTCGTGCTCTAAATCTGAACGTACACTTTTAACAATCTTTTTCGAATTTTTAAATTAACCACCATAAATCAGCCTTTGTTTCGTGTCTCTTGATGCCACGCAAGTTTTATGTGACTTTCTAGATCAAAAATCAGCGACTTTTTTTTTTCATCTCCAATTTTTCCTTACTTATATTAAGATTTTTGTTGTTTTTTTTTTACTTATTTTCATACCTTTAGCTGATGTGTCGGTACCACTTCTATTTTATAATAATAGGCGTTCTTATTAACTAAACATTTTGTTCGAGGCTATTTCTAAAGTTCGACCAAGGACTTGCTTATTATCCTGCAACGTTTCTGAGCGTTTCACCGTACACGAGTTTCCGCAGTTCGCGTTCTATTGTAAGCGTCGCATATTAAAAGTGCTCACGATTTTTATACCTACTACTTTTCAGAAATATCTGCACTAGGAAAAACTTAGAAAACACAGACAAAGAAGGAAAGTAGAACAGAAAGACCAGCGGCAAACAAGCAAATTTGTAATAGTTTAAAAAGCGGCGGTTGTCGTCGCGACGTGGTGCAATCGTATCGACTGGTACTGGTACCCACCTATCACCGGGAGAAGCTGGTGCAGTAATTCGCATGGCGTGCGGCACATTATCGCCAACAACCCCCGACAAAACGAAATCCTTATCATTCCGTGTAGTCTAATTAGACCTACACATACACGTAGGTCGTTATAGCGTAAAGTAGCGCATTTTTATTTGATTTTATTTTGTACAAGCGCGTTAGTGAAAAGTCGATTTTTTCCTTTTCTTGAAGAACGAATGATACTGTAGTTGTTATTCGTGTGAATAAATTAGTGTCGAAAAAAAATAGTGTTTCGTAACGATGCAGCACCCGGGTTCGTGGTACTTGCCGTGGGGTGTGCCTCTGCAGAAGGTTGTGGCGATGCCGCTACACCCTGCGGCTGCAGCCGCAGCGGGCACGCTGCATCATTTGCAGAGACCGCAGACGGCTGTCCATGTACAGCCCATGTTGACCAGCATCGGTTCACCGCTCACCACGATCACCAGCTTCATCGGTCAACCGGCGGCCATTATCAGGCAACCACATGCTAGAAAGGTTGGTGCACTTTTTTTTAACTATACTTCATTTACTTTCTGTAGCGATGTGCCCCTTCCAATGTCTTGGATGCGCGCTGGCAAAATCGTAGGTAGGGAGAAAAAAACTCATTATACTCTCGACTCTTGTTCATTAAACATACTTTTTCATACAGTACCTGCCAAAGGTTTTGCTCAATCATGAATAGTAGTGCGAGTCGAAAATAAACGTTAAAGCCTTTAATATGTCTTGAAATATAAATAAACATCTCTTTGATATTATCAGTAGTAAATGGTACCAATAACAGCACATTTAAGCAACGCAATTGTAGTGGATAAAATGATCAATTTTTCCGTGCAGTACTGTACGGATTATACGGTCCTCACCGGTTAAGAGTTTGACCGAGAGTTGTCTCCTTCCTTTTCTGGCCTAGTGCTGTTCTTTTCTACTTTGCGCCGGTCAAACTGAAGGTCACATCGCTACAGATACTAAACGAAGTATACATTTCAGTGATTTTTGCCTTTAAGAGCATCTGCAAAGAATCGTTTGATGAGGTAATACACCGATCACCGCTAAGATTTTAACTCACCATTCAGAAGGGCATCTTGCTTCAAGTTATACTGTGGTAGTATAAGAAATATCATTCTTCTATGCCTTTACCTAGTCTATTTTGTTTATATATCCTGATCATTTTTTTTGTATTTTTGAGCCCTTCCTGTAACTCCATTTTTGACTCTTAATTTTTCTACTTTCTACTAGTCTTATAACTGTTGTTCTTATTGTATTATCTTATTTTTCTCACCCTTTTTTCCATTCCCTCGATTTCATAAGCTCTTCTTATGATCTATATATTTCCGTTTGTAACTCACAATTCGTTCTTTTTAATTATTTTCCACCTATAAACAAATTATAAACAAATTGTGATACTAAGAATCTAATTACCTTGCATACCTACTACGTGTAATTGAATTATTTGACGGCTTTGGTGCTATACGGTTCGGGTGACGCACTTGCTGTACGTGTCGTAGTTTGGTTGAAGTTTCTAAGCTGTAGTTGTAGAAGCAATTCATCGTTGACCAGAGGCAGGACAACGAGATGGGAATCTGTGGTCCACTGAAACATCCTCAGCTTTGGCGCTCGCAATTCGTTACAGTTACAGTGCAAACTTGTAATTAATCCATTAGTTTAGTAATGGCGGACGGCTCGGCTAATTTCATAATTTCCGCCTGTTTCTAGTTCATTTTCAAACTGCACATTTCAGGGTAAAGTTACCCGCCTGCAACACACCGCATTAAATCTTCTAGACGAGATTATACGAATGAAAAATCATTCAATGTAAACTTGTTCTTCGACATGGGCACTGAAATTATTACAGAAATGAATAGTGACTGAAGGATTTGTAAAGGATTTCGCTACCAGTCCTGATTCGGGTCTAAAAATTTGAATCAGGACAACATGAATAGTGATTCGATATTTAGGAAGTCAAATAAGTCAGGATGGAAGGAGTAATAAGGATATAAAACAGAGGATAGCGCAGGGTCGAGTCGCCTTCAATAAAAAGAAATCACTTCTGTGCTAACGGTTAATTTAGAAATTCGAAAAGGATTGTTCAAGGTGTATGTTTGGAGCGTCGCATTGTACGGGTGCGAAACATGGACAGTGGGCGCGGCGGCAAAGAAAAGGTTAGAAGCGTTCGAAATGTGGTGTTGTAGGCGAAGGATGGATAGAGAAGGTTAGAAATGAAGAGTTGTTAAAAAGAATAGGATATCGGAAGAATCTATAGAAGCCAATAAGAAATAGGCGAGATTGATAGGACACCTTCTCAGGCATGAAGGTCTAGTCAAAGACATATTACAGGCAGAAACAGGAGTTAAGAAGAGTAGAAGTAGATCAAGATTAGATTACTGTTCGCAAATAGTTAAGGATGTGGGATGTTCTAGTGTTAGGGAAATGTGAAGATTAGCTCAGGATAGGAAAGAGTGGAGGTCCAACCACTCTTAGGACTGACGAAGATGAAGATACTTGCATATTACTATAACTAATGATATGCATCATATCACACTTTCAGGATTCAATATTTTCCTTCATTTTAAGATAAATTGAGAAGTTAATGACTACGATTTGTTTTTTAGATCGAATGGTAGTAATTATTCGTTTCATTTGTAAATGTTCGTTTCTCTTATGAAACCACGACAATGACAGTAGTATCGCAGTAGTATTTATAATTCGAATTCTGCTCAGCAATCTTCGGAAATGGCTTTCCTGATTAATAATATCTCCCGTGCGCAGGTAGGCGGGAGTTTTTAGCTGATGAGTATATATTTTGACGGGAAGTAAATGTGGCAGAAACGGAATTATTTATTGACTGAGTCATTATCTTCGCGAAGGGTGTCAGAGATTAAACGTTCTGAAGTTTGTAGTTGCGTATTTCAATTAATACAAAATTTACTTAGTGATGAGAAGTGGGATGGGGTGTAGTAATATAACTTTAAATTGAATGAAAAATTTACAATATTAAGGACGACGTTATAAGAATTGGATAATGTAATACCTAGGATAAAAAAAGTTGCGAAATTTTATTATCTGTATCTACTTTTCGATTATTGACCTAATTCTATTAAAAAAACGTATTTCAAATATTGTATCGTATCTTTTAATATCATTAAAGTCAGGACAACTGTATGGGATAGATATATGTGGACAAAATATTAGTATGCTTAGATTTGTAGATGATATAGCAGTATAAACATGGAGGAGTGAAAGATAGCCTTAAATGAGATGGTATTAACAAAACAGTATCGTATGAAGATAAATAAAAGTGAAACAAAAATAGTGGTATGCGAGGCAATAAAAAGAAAAAGGATATAAGTAAACATAGCAAATGAAAAATTAAAACAAGTAAAACAAGTTTTCGGTAAAGACAGTACAACTGTAGGGATAGATGTGCAAGGGCAAAAGATTAATATCCTTAATTTGCAGATGATATAGCAGTATTAGCATCTAGCAAGAAGGAAAGAGATAGTTTTAAATAAAATGGAAGCGGTACTGACAGATCAGTAAGTACTGTATAAAAATAAATAAAAGTAAAACTAAAATACTGATATGCAAGGGAAGAAAAAGTAGGGAAAGAGCGAATATAAAGATAGGAGACGAAAAATTAGAAAATGTGGCTGATTTTAGATACCTAGGAAGTCAGATAAGTGAGGATGGAAGGAGTAGTAGAGATATAAAGCAGAGGAAAGCGCAAGGTCGTGTCGCCTTTAATAAAAAGAAGTCACTTCTATGCTCGCGAACGGTTAATTTAGAAATTCGAAAAAGGTTGTTAAAGGTGTATGTTTGGAGCACGGCATTGTACGGGTGCGAAACATGGACAGTGGGAGCGGCGGAAAAGAAAAGGTTAGAACCGTTCGATATTGTGGATAGAAAAGGTTAGAAATGAAGAGGTATTTGAAAGAATAGGAGAACAGAGGACTCTATGGAAGTCAATAAAAAATAGGCGAGATAGGTTGGTTGGACACGTTCTTAGGCATGAAGGTCTAATCAAAGACATATTAGAAACACAAACAGAGTTAGGAGAAGTAGAGATAGACCTAGGTTAGATTCCCGTTCACAAATAGTTAAGGATGTGGGTTGTTCTAGTTTTAGAAAATGCGATGATTTACTCAGGATATGAAAGACTGTGTGTTCAACCAGTATTAGGACTGATGATCTTATGATGATGATGATTTTTAATTACGTCCAATTAGAAACTTGAATTTCAATTGAAAGGAATGTAACTAAAATTAATCGTTTATATTTTATGTTAACTTGCACATAAAAGTGGATTAAAGCTTGAACAGTTTGTGGCTCTTCACGTTCCGCTAACGTCTAGTATAATAAAAATATCGCTGATGTTTCATTTTAAAGACAAATTTTTTGGCTCATTCTTATTACCCGTCAGCTTCCATTAACGTCGGCCCCATCTACACCAAGTCATCCCGTTTAACAAAGGCCTCTTGACAGAAAAAGTCCTTTGGCACGGACTTTCTTCAGCAAAATGCACGATTTTTACTTCCCAAAAGGCAGCAAACTTTTCTTTATGCGACCGTAAAGGTTAAATGTGATGCAACTTAACGATACTATTTCTACTTGATCCTTTCTGCAAATTTGCTTTACGTCCTTTTTATTGTCCTTTGAATTATCCTGTCAGCGTCCGACTCTGTAACCTGATTTCTGTTGCAAACATTCGACATTATCCGCATTAAATGTTGGAAAGGCTTATAGTTCATTAAAAAGTGATAATTAAGAGGAACATAAACTCGCTTCACTAACGTTATCAGGAACAAATTTAATTCAACAGGAGATATTTAATGCAAAACTGTGTATAATAAAGTTTCCACTTCATAAAGTTTTGTTTTTCCATCGATGTGAAAATGGCCACATCCGCAGAGTAAGTACGCACGAACTAAACTCCGAAGTACGTCACGGGATATATTAACATTAAATTCATCGTAAAAAAGAAACTATAAAAAAGTTACAATTCTCAACAACAGAGTGAAAGCTGATAACAATTTTATTTAAATGAGTGTGACAATTACGTAGTTATTTGATGCGAAATATTTCAATGTTAAATTACTCTTTTTTATTGAGGGTTCTTCCTGTCCCCCAATAATTTTTTATATCTATATGACATAATTTGTCAGCCGGTCTGAGGGTTATTAATAAGGTGTGAAGCCCTCCAATATTAAATTATTATTTTTCAAGGGAAGTTGTTCTTGTCCCACAATAATTTTCTGTATCCTAACTCTACGTGTTATTTAATGTAGGATTATACCTGTTTTGTCAGCGCGTTTGGGGGTTACTTTTAGGGTGCGAAACCCTCCTATATCAAATTATTGTTTATCAGGGGAAGTTGTTCTTGTTCCACAATAATTCTCTGTATCCTAACTGTACAAGTCATTTAATGTAGGATTATGCCTGTGAGATAATTTGTCAGCGGGTCCGAGGGTTATTTTATAGGCTGCGAAACCCTGCAATATTAAATTATT